TCGCTACCCCTTAAAATACGCCCCTATGATAGAATGTGATGATTTTTAGATCTTTGTAGAAATTGTTATACACCAGAGGACCAAAATAGTTATTGACAAACATATTGATTGAAACTACTAGAGTTTTGGTGTTGATGCCATATGACCAAACTGGACGGATTAAGGATTTGTATAAAATGAGGTTATTAGAGAGAATGAGAAAGAGACTTTAGCTTTAAGGAATAGTGTGAGAAGCTTCGGGAGTTGTCTGTTTTAAGTTTGAATGTTAGGTGTGGACCTCCTAGTGAGTTTTTTATCTAGAATGAGATCGGGGTACCCAACTGAATTTATTGTAGTAATGTTTTCTTCATTTTGCGCAAAAAGAGAGGGAATCAATGCTGTGTAAGATAAAATCACTTGTACTGATTTTGACTCGTTAATTTTAATTTTCCAACTGTTTGATTACGTATTAAACCTGTATCCAGATGGTTTTGTAGCATTTGGATAGCTACTAACCTGGCTACTACAGAATCAAGACGAGAATCTGTTATGAGTGTGTCGTTGGCATAACGTCTAGGAATGTATGAAACGTTTTTGGAATTTCGAGATTAAATACTGAATAGAGAAAATAATTGATGTCTCTACGTCGAGGTACCCCGAATTTGATTGGATATCGTGTGTTGAGTATCTGGAGTTTAGCCGAACAAAGAAGTATGAATTGGATAAGTAAGATTTTATTGATTAGGAATAACCATAATTCAATTTGTGAAAAGGCCGTCATGCCAAACTGGGTCAAAAGTTTGGGCGACGTAAATTGGTATTGCTATTTAAAAAAATCACATATTGTACTGCAAATGCGGACTTAAAAATTATAAACATTTTGAATTTGTCTAAAAGTGTATTTATACACAAATAGCTTGCGAAAAAAAAATCGATTAACTTCAATATAATACAAACGAAAAATGCAGTGTTCCCTAAATTGGTAAACACGCGGTATATTATATTACTTAAATAACTTTTGGCTACAATGCATTTGCGCACATTTACCTATTTTACAACTCGTTTGCACATCGACTGTGTAGACTGTAGATTATATAAATTTGGATTTTCGAAACAACTTTTAGCATTGATTATAGAATAGATAATAAGAATAACTATTATAACTATAATAGTATATAATAATATAAATAAAATAACTATAATAACTATTCATTCATACAACGCTATCTCTCGGGAACTTTTAATATCATAATTTTAGTCCCCGATTTTCCCTATACAATGGCCCATCTATTTATTCTATAATCAATGATTTTAGTAAAGTTTCGATAGGCATAGATCATAGAGTAAGATAGAGGCGGTGTTAGCTATCAAAACCATGTATCACAATTGAATCCAATCCGTCCGTCATTGACCCCAATTGAAGAGTCCAAGTAAGATAATTTTCTCCGTTAGTCGCGCTGTTTTCAATGAAAAATATATACAATAAAACCTCATTAAGACGCTCTCGCTTAATACGCCATCCCGCTTAATACGTGGATTTTTCCCGGTCCCAGGTACTTGTACACTTTTAACATTGAATAAAACCTGTTCCTAATAATAATTTTTTTGTATGTATATTTGATGTTTTTTTTTTATTAATTTTAAATATGTACAACTTATGTTACTGTGTAATACATAACAAATCACATTATAAAAACTTTTCTTATTTATTTTATCTATTATTACATTTAAAACGCTTTTAATAGGCGGGATATCGCCTATAACGCTATCCCGCATAATGCGCGGTTTTACGATTTCCCCTTCGAGAGCGTCTTAACGAGGTTTTACTGTATATACATATCACTTTTCATTTATGAAAACGGCGAAACTAGCGGAGAAAATGATCGTACTTGGATTCTTCATGGGGGCAATGACGGACAGATTAAGATATCTTAATATGTCTTTGGTCGTTATGCGCAAACGAGTTGCAGCGTAACTTTTGTGCTGTCGCTTTTAATAGTGATGCGCTTTTATGCTATTCGTTTTGAATTTATTTTCAGCATTGGCCGCCAAACATCCGACGGGACAACATGTTCCTTCAAAAAAAAAAAAATGGTATTACGATTTGGTCATTATGATTGCAATAACATATGTCTTACTCGGTACGCATGTCACCGATTCATCAATTGATACATAATGCCCGGGTTCTTGAAAACTGTGATCGACAAGAAAAATAATTTAACAAATTTTACAAAGATACCAAAGATTTTCGTCTAATCACAGTTATCTGTATTAAAAATTGTTTAAATATACATAGGTGTGCATAGGTTCAAAGACATACAAATCGAATCAGTTAAGAAAGATTAAAGGATACATAAACAAATGTGTTTTAAAATTACTATTGATAATTTCACGTTAGAAAATACATTTTAGACAATACGATTGAATCGAATATTCAAAGATTTTACTATTATGATTAGTTTTAGAATTAAATGCATCTATAAGCAAATTATCAGAGCTAGTTATGTTTACCTTTGATTATATACTGTACAATTTTCTACTCGATTTTTAGGTTTACAATATTCCATTTTCGTTGCCCATGGCGTTTTCATTTTTTTCTGGTGGGCAATTGTATTTGTAACTTAATTTTTGCACCGTGGTCGTGTTCATTCGTTCTTTCGGAACAGAATAACTGTTTACATGGAAAACATATAAATGTGATTAAATACGATTGTTTAGCAAATATCATAATAGATTTATTAAAGGGTAAACTGTATTAATTCAAATAATAGGGCTAATGTAAAATAATGTCAAGTTTTATAACACGGGAATTACTGATTTTATCAACAAATAAAAGGCGGTTCGGAAAACTTTAAATGGTTTTCGAATATCAAAATGACGTGATGCCATATCATACCAGTCTTTTGGCTTGTAACTTATCACCGGAACGGTGCACACCGGCTGGTACGAACAGTTATTTGTTGTCAACGAATTCATTGGACAATCGTCATACCCACGGAGGTTATTGCGTGGTAATATTTTCTTCTGGCGGTTAATATCGCATGGGATGTAAAAATCGTGAACCATCGTGGTCTCTTTTTTCATAGGCCCTTTGCCTCCCAAACAATGGTCTCTGGGCACGATTTTGTCCACTCTTGGCGAATAATGTATCGGATAGCTCATCTGTAATGCGTAAATAGAATAAAATTTAATTTGCACTGCACGGTTGGGCTGCCTCTTTTGGCGAAAAATCAGTGCTCACCCTGTTAACTGTTAAGCAGTCTATGTTGCCAGCCATGACCAGGTGATCATTTTGTTTGATTGGCTTCTCCCTTGGTCCACAAACGTAACTTGAGAAAGAACAGTTATAAACTGTATTCCTTTCAATTTTCCCTTCGTTTTTTGAATGAATGCTAAAAATGTATAACATTTAAATGAACAACGACTTACAAACACATACACACACATACTCCTGTATAGTACACAGTCGTTTAATATTTGATAAAATAAGTACATACTGATGTGGGCTTACATAGCTTCGGTCTACAGGGCTGAACGTATTTCTTATTGCACTGAAATAATAAACCGTCGTATAATACGCTGCGGCTTGCAAGAATATAATAATAGACAATTTTCATTTATCGTCTTGTATGGACATTCGCTTGCGGCCCTACTAGTCTATAAAGTTTGTGTTTAACACTTACCATTTCTTGTTGATTGCATTTGTCCATTTTATTTGATTATTTTTAGTGGTCTTGAAGTTTTAAAATTTTAAAATTTTTAGCTAAAATTATATGATCTTTAATATCAGGTACGCGAAGAATTGGCTTTGTTTAACTTTCAGTCGTATAGGTTTCTTAGCAACTACTTATTTAATGCATTTTTTTTAAAGAAGTTAATTCAACTAATAGATTACTTCGTAATTACAATATTAAAACAATATTAGATACGTAAACGTTTTCTATATGAATATGAACGTGTCATCGTGGAATGCAGTAGACAACATTCTATCACAATTAAATAATTATTGATTGACATTCAAATTAATTATCATTGAGTATCAGTGGATTATAACAAAAAATTACCCATCTGCATCCCCATTTATATTATTTACCTGACTATGAAAATAATAGATAATAATTTGACAAGGATATGAAGATAAGAAAATGGTGATGTGCGATTTTATGAACCAAATTTGGATTTTGAATATTTCTAAAAAAACTAAAGCCATAATACACTGAATTACAACTTAATAATTATTTCATGTATTGAGGTTAGAGACAGAATATATTTAAGAGGTTATATCCTCCCATACTCCCCTAGTTGCACCTATGACCTGCTTCAATGTAATGTACATCAGCATCGTTCTTTAAGATTTCTAGTATAATTAGGTGCTAAATAGTTTATCTGAATGGGCTGTCCAGTTTAGTTATTATCATAACGTATAATGGTTTTTTAAATTGGAAAATCAGTAGTATTTTATTAATTATTATTGATGTTTTCGCAAACAGTAACTACTCTCGATTATTTTACAAGCATGTAACCAATCTTTATACTCAGTGTACGACCAGAGGTACCATAATCAAGAGGTCACATTGGCTGTAGAACAAACTACCATCAAAAGCCCACAATCGTATATTAAATATATTATTTAATATCAATCATTTGTGTTGATGTTATCGTGATTAACATGTCATTAAATAAAACGAGTAAAATTTTAGAAAAAAACAGTGTGTACTCATAACATTTTTATTCTCGCACGTTTAATTTTTTTTTCGCACATTTCGACTAGTCGATGCACACTCGACCACGTGAATAACAGTTTGTACATACATTTTTCCATCGTCGCCCAGTAAATTTGACACTCGCTCCATTTGCCATCCCATGGGATCTCTTTGTGTAGGTAAGCACATGGTTAATTGCTTAGGTTTGTATTTTTGTGTTGTCATTACTATACTACCACAGCCCGCGACTATTGTCGATACTTAGCTGCACATAGCACATGGGGTAGTAAACTAAACAAAAGGGTAAATAGCGCGCGCAGAAACGCGGCGACGAATCTCATTGTACACGCACGCACACGTCACATAAATCGCATTCAATCAGCTCACGCGTTTCCCACCATACGCACAATTTCCACGGTTATTTCTCGGTACTTCCATCGTGGGTTAAATTGCTGATAATTGTTATGCTATTTACCTATTGCTGCACAATAAACAATATATGATAATACTGGTCGTTGTAATAATTATTATTTTCTATCCCGCGGTAAAATTACTGACATGTTTACCGATACGCAGTACATGGCCTTATATGGCCGAGGGTCGCTTACGAAGGATCATGAAAACCTTACCGTTGTATCCAGGTATACAAATTGATATTACAAATATTATAATAAAATATTAATAGTGTTCAACCGGAAAGGAATAAAATTTAGTCAAATTCGTTGTGACAGTCGAATGCTTACGAGCTGGTTCCCGGGTGAGGCTACACCAGTGATACCCAAAATTTTTCCTCAGTGGGTTACTTTGGTAAAAAATTATCTTCAAGTGGTCCATCAAATATAAAAATTCAAATAATGTTAATATTAATGTAATAATATAAATTTGTTTTACAATATACATGTAGATATTATATATATATTATATTATATATGTACTTAGCTAGCAACGGTTTTGACCAAATCTATATTCTAGAGAGTTCTGCATTTGTTTAAAATAGTAAAGAAATCATTGTTGGATGGTAATTCTGGACCGTAGCCAATTTGTATTGTATCCACGACGATCAACCAGAAAGTGATTCAAATAGTTTTACAGCAACTAAATACATTTTATTAAAACAGATTCGTACTATTTTTTAACACAGAAACAAATTAAGTTAGTTTCCAAAAATCCACCGATGATGAAGGTCTTATATTCAATAGAACATTTTTTTTTTCTGCGTTTTATTGTTCAGACACTGAAGATCGTTAGGGACAATAGCAAATGTCTAAAATATATATACTAGCCGACCCGTCACAGCTTCGCCCGTGATTGGTTGTTTATTTTGCCTTCGGACCATGATATGTAGAATTTTTTATTCAAATATTATTGTTTAATGTGATCGGCAAGTAAATATAAAAAAAGGGTCAATGAAAACGGATTGAAATTTTTCTAGCGTTATAAATGATAAAAATAAATACAGATAAAAAAGAAATAATTTTTTTTTTTGAATAATTTAAGAATATGATTGAAGTTGACGAAGAAAAAAAAAGAAAAAAAAATTAAAATAAGAATTTTATAAGACTTCTGAGTATATGATGTTTTTTGTTATATTTCCTGTTGAAATTAAAATCATAAGGTGATTCGGGTTCCCAGTTCGAGAAAATGCCACGTATAATTGCCCATGTGAAAAGCACTCTGTACGAAGATCTACGCCAACGTACTTGAATGTTTGACCTTGCGCTTTGTTTATGGTAATGGCAAAAGAAACTTTAACCGGGAATTGAAGCCGTTTGAAAGAAAACGGCAAGTCGGAGGGAATCATGGGAATTCTTGGAATAAATGCAATTTCTCCTTTCGCTGGCCCTGTAAGAATTACGGCTTCTATAATATTATTTCGCAACTATTTTATTTGTAATCTTGTACCGTTACATAAGTTCGGTGGTTGAAGATTACGTAATAATGTAATTGGAGCACCAATTTTTAATTTTAGCTTATGAGGAGGAAACCCCGAAGGAGAAAGAGAATTGAGAAATTTTTGTGGATAACGAATAGCATCATCTGTTGATGTAACTGTATCAATAGATAGATATCCACGTGAGTGTCCATCGAATTTTAGAAGGATGATATCATTAATTTCTCCTGCTATGGGGACTTTCTCAAGAAACAACTCAAAGATAACTCAAAAAAACTCAACTCAAAGAGTTGCCTCCGCTAGAGCATTTTTCCATTGCTCGTCATTTTCTAAAAGCCCAAGAGCAAAACAGGTAGCTTTAAAAGTCGCGTGAATGACTCCATCAAAGGCCTTCAAGCTTTCAAATGAAGTAGGACCTTGTACATAATTTAGTAACAATCTTAAATGGAAGCACTCACTTTAATTTTGGTGAATCGTGTAAATTCTACCAATGGCAGTGTCCATTTTTATTCCTGGCCAACCTGGAACATCTTTTCCCCATCTTCTCTTTAACTAGCCTCTGCTATCATCCCAGGTATAATAAGAAGGAACTTCATGATAGAACAGTGTTTTCGCAAAATCATCATGTGAACAGTTCAAAAAATGCAGTTAGTATTGTTTTTCTTGGATTTTCAATAACTTGATGAAGATTATTAGCATTAAAGAAAACACGCTGTCCATTTTCTAGATAATAGCCAAGTGCTGAACTATCGGATCTCTATCATGGATTTCAAAATTGAAAATTCTCCAAAACGCTTCAGAAGTATATATGTATCGACAATTCAAATAATTTGTAATCTCATCGTTTTCACGATTAACAGAAAAAGTAGCTCTATCTGATCCTTTATTAATGTTATAGGCCGGATCGGTTAAACTCGTTAGAGTCCGTCGACACTATGTAACGTTTGTAAGTTCGCACTTCGAATAAAGTAAAGGATTAAAAAATGGTTAAGACTTGTGAACAAATTACTATTATGAGTTCGTTTATTGACCGTTCATGTACTTGGTTACAATACGACTGGTTATACGGACGGCGAGAGGCGTCCGGTTAATCCAAAAATGCTTACTTGCATTACTCCCCACATAAAGGACTAATGCCTACGCGTACATGTTATGTATACATTCATAATAATAGTTATAATAATAATAATAATATATATACTACTCGCTTACAACATTAATATATTTTCATGTGTATTTTATCACTTTAACCGAATGACAGTATTCTACGTTAATATGCGCATTAAAGCACCTATATAGCACTGGACAATACGGTACAACCCAACGGTTGTCAACCACGATTTCTGTTTGACCACGAACTTTTAATATTGCAGTATAATCTCCATCATCTGGTGATCTCCGTCGGTAAGTCGGATAACCATCATCTCCAGTTTGAGTATCCTTGACCAATTTGTGAGTGTATTTCTTACTACATTTTCCATTATTCATACATGGCGATCTAATATTTAACTCGCCGTATGGGCCATGAATCATATTCTTGCATACTATTTCATAAAGTATAGGATCTTTATCTTTGTTTGGTATCTCGGCAGAAATAATTTTATCAATTTCATCTGGCTGAATTTTCACTTGTAACCACAATAGAATGTGGCAGTCTGGCAAACCTCGTTTTTGCCATTCAACACTGTAAACATAACAATTTACATCACCGAAAATATATTTATTTTTTAATACATGCATAAACTTTTTTAGTTTGAGATGAAAAACTCTAGAGATTATATCGTCTCTATCAAACGACTTTTGGTCTTGAAATAATTCATTTTTTATTTCCGGCCATTCCGGGTTGCATGTGAAAGTAATAAATAAATCTGGACGGCTAAATTTACGAACATAAGTCATGGCATCCTGATTTTTTTCATGCATGTAATGTGGGGAGCCAGTAAAAGAGGAGGGAAGAATTACTTGTTGCTCCACGTTATTAGTATTAATATTTGCATTATTGTTAACAGCATCTCGGAGGTGAACATAATCATCCGCATGTAGTTGTTTTTGATGGTTACGAATGAAGTGTAGTCTTTCAGAAATTATTTTTGCCATCATATCTACGGCGAATTGGCTGACTAATGTTTTGTAATAATGTAGATGATTTAGACTTGTTTTTCTAACCATAAACCTATAAGAATAAAATTGCATGCAGGAGACAGTTTTTGTTCGATTTTGGTTATTTTTCTGTAAAATATTAATGTGATAACCGTCTTCGCATCTAGTATACATCAATGGATATTGCAGTGCATCATAAGATCTATTTAATTCGGAAACTCGACTCAAGTATCCACTCCGACCGTACAGAACTATATCTCTGGGACCTTTATCTTCATTAACTAATAATACAGCTACTTCATCGATGGTAGGTGCATTGTATTGATCTCTGTGTTCATCTTGAGGAACTCTTTCAGCATGAATAATTAACTTAAAGTTTTGCAACTCATCAAAAGACCTCGACTCCAGATTAGATCTGAAGCTCTGTATGAGGTGATTATTTTCACGCAAAACTGTTTGCAATGATTCAATGAGACCTCTTTTTAAATTTGGAATCATATTTGTTCGAATAGATATTTGATCCGACTCTGACATAAAATATATTTGTAAAAATTTAGCATTATTTCCAATTTCGGGTAATAAACTACCTATTACATGATGCACTTGACCCTGAATTTTAAAAAAGGGCATGAAGTTCCCTTCAGCTATTTTGTTTGCCCCAAACAATGTCATTTGAAACTTTTAAAACATTTAAAACTGAAAAATATTGTTCTAGAACAAACACATGGAACTGAATTACCGGTATGGATGTTAACAGATATCTAGGAAGTGTGCTCATAATATAATGCATAGTAAAAATAAAAAATAAATTTATCAATTTTCAATGAAAATGTATTCTTTATTTTGGGGTGTTTTGCACCAGGCACTATAACTCTGGATGGTTTGGTGTACATAATCGGTGGCTGTTATCAAATGCATGTCTTATTGAATTCATTTAAACATTTAATTTATACACAAATATGTGGACCGTTTCTAACAAAAAATTGAAAATTGGAAGCTGGTTCAATAAAGCAATTGTATTAAATAGAAACCATAATGCGTTGAATTATCAATTAGTTAGACAATTTTTTCAGAAATATACTTCAACAGTTTCAACTATAGTACCATTTTGGAAAATCATTAGAACCATTAAATTTATTAAATTTTATTAGAATTAAGTGTATCACATAGGTTGAGTGTATCTATAGTTGTTCTACACAAATAAATAATACAGTTAACAATCCAAATTATATTTGTATTTCAATTTGTATAAACTGTACATTTCAGTAATTAACAATGTATACTACTAGAACAAAAAAAAAAAAAACTGTTACTTCAGTCATCAATGTTTATTAAATATATTTGGTAATTCAACTCCTTGCTTAGCTTCGAAGAATGTGTATGATAAAGTTATGTCATTGATATTTTCCATTTTCGGATCTGTAGTATATTCTGGGTCAATAAAAAAAAATACTGGCATATCAACCTAAAAAAAAATTGCAAAGTTAAAATAAAATCTTAACAGTATAAAATAATATATAAATACCTCTTCGTTAGGATTCAACTGTTGTTCTTCAAAACAAAAACATTGAATTTTATTAAAATATTGTCCTGCTTCAAAAGGTACAACATTATATGTGCTAATACCTGTAACTGGCTTATCTAATGGATTCTTAGCAGTATAAAATGCTAATGCTGTTTCACCTGGTGCTACCTAGTTTAAATACAATACATTAATATTTTTTTTTCAAATTAATGAACAAATAAAACCATTCAATCAATAATCAATCTCAATATAAAAATATTGTACAACAAAATCAATAAAATAAGGCTATAAATATTGTATAATGTCAAAATTAGAATAATAATACAATACAAATTATTTAAATGAAATCCAATGCTCAAATATGCAGAAATACAAACAAAAAGATTACAAATTGTATTAAGTACATGGAATAAATAAATGATTATACCGGCTGGGAGTCTAAAAAAGTGGGACATGAAGTCCCTTAAGTTGATCCACAAATTTCAACTTAAAACTCAGTTGGTACCAACTGAGAGGGGGGAGCGTTATAGTACACAAGGCTGGCTCAGAAACAGTGCCCCTTGATGATGAGACTCCTACATCAGCTGCAACGTGATGACTATTAGGACAAATGCTAGAAAGAAAGAAAACAACCAAAGACCTAGTAGAGACTGCGGGATCCAACATGGTTCTTATGTGTCTACTCTAGAAGAGTATGGACTTAGGTTCGGTGATGGTGGTCCTTAAGACAACCAGGTTTTATTGGATTAATTTCTTGTGGTTATGCAACCGCGCCTCTTGAATAACAGCACATATTAATAAAAGAAGCACCAGCATATGGCTCCGGCCAAAATCCAAATTTAGTGTATCTGTTCATTAATTGGTATAATTAAATTACATACAACCTTCAAAGGCCAAAAAGTAATTTCTAGTAAACCTGGGTGTGTACACATTTTTTAATGAGAACCAGATAAAATTATTCTATAATTTATAATAAGTTAAATTATTGATACTTGAGACTAAAACTCTTTAAAATATACTAATTGTAACCAATTTATATAAAAATAAAAAAACATGAGTATTTAAAAAAAAAAAAATTACACTTATGATCCAGCCAGTTTTTGAAAGTGCATTACTTGTAGAGTGCAATTATGTAATATTCTATTACAGTAAGGTTAGGATTTTTTAGCCTGAGACTAGCTCTAGTTCTCGACCGAACTATAAAAAGTAAATGTATTAGGCTTTAACTTTTTACAAGGTTGATTATTCAGTAATTTCATAATAGTTATTTAATTTAATAGAGTTTATTTATGTAAATAGTTTTAAAAAATATTAGTTGTAAAAATATATATCGAACAATTGATATATTAGTATACAAATATTCTAGATCAAAATATTAAGTATAAAATAAAGAAAATGAGATAGGTCAGTATACTTAAACACCAAATAATATCAAATAATATTAAAAGAAAAATTAAAATAAACACATGGTTACATTTTTTCAACAGAAATTTAACATTTGATACAAAAGTCATACATAAAGACTAATTTAAAAATTATTATACTAATTATATTGTACTTCTACATTTGCAATTTATAATATTATTCATTAATATAATAAATTGATCATTTTAATTTCTCCTCCACTTAATCAGAAAATTAATTAATTGTTCGATGTGTAAGTACTTATAAGCATAAGAATATTACTCTGATTTCAGTCTGAAGTGGTTTAAAGCTCCATTGCATACTTGAAGAGGTATCAGCAGTGAAATGAACTTTGATCTCTCTGTTTCTAACAGGCTTCATTGTTTCTACCTTATAATCGTCAACATTATGACTTAGTGTTCCACCATAACTGAATGCCTTGGGTAACAAAAAAATGTTGTTTGAACAGAGTTCGTTCTAATGTATATATTTTATATGCATGTACTCATATGTACTCACCTGACAAAACATTTTGTACAAAGGTACGGCCGCATAACTAAGGCCAACTGTTAGTACTCCCATTGAAGATAAGTAATAGACTGTAGAACGTATTCTCTTTTTTTGTTCGTCATTTGAATTAGTACTGTGCGAATGTTTTGTATGCAAATGGCTTTTTACATATTGCCAAGCACACAAAGGCCGCAATTTGAATATCCTTATGAACATCGTCTTTTATTTGTCCAACAGTCTCAACAATTCTAAAAACATGGTTTTCCTGAGAAATAAAAAGTAAACATTTTTTTTATCAGGTCAAATATTATGATTATTGGTGATAAACACGACGAAAAAATTAATTAATAAAAGTATATTAATTCGCGTACATACTAATAATTGTGGCTTAACAGTATACAATTAAAATCGTTTACACATCATGTTTGATCATCTTGAACAACTATTAAATCATAAGAATCTATCAGATTTCGTCCGATAAAATCTGATTCATAGCATTACACACTACGTTATCAAATATAAATAATAATAATAATAAAATTAATGATAATGGATAATGATATCAGTTAATTGATAAAAGATATTACCTTACTCTGATAAAAAGTAAATAAAAAATAATATATTCCCATCTATAGTCGTGGCCGTAACCACTGAGATAGATAAGAATATAATAAGAAGAAATTTGAAGAATAATTAATAAAAAAATAAAAATACGACGTATCCACTTGGGATAATTTTAAAAATAGTATCCCAGTTGTTGACACTTGAACATTTAATATACCATACCTTTCACGCACACCTATCAATATGATATATTGATATTATCTATAGATAATTAATTAATAATTTTGTACATTATTTGTGAAATTATTCCTATAATTCTTATAATAATTTACTATTAAACAACTAATGACAAAATTGAAATAACCACAAAAAAATACATACAAAATGATATATCACATAAAGATTGTAAAATAAAAAATTATTCGGGTTTCGGGTTAACACCAATATTTTATTATGATTTTGGTTAATTCGGGTGTTTTAAAAAAAAAAAATCATTCGGGTTATATGGGTTTTGGTGTTTGATTTTTTAAGGATTTTCAAGGGTGTTACGGGTTCAAGTTGATTAGGGTGCAAAGCCCTGCTAGTAAATTTTAATTAAATTCAGGTTAAGTTAGTTTATAAATAATTAAATAAAAAAATATAATAAAATTATTATTAATGATACATATTCAAATTATTTAAAATATTTTACAAATAAAAATTAAATTTTGCCTATTATAAATGGTCCGAGGTTCGACAAGACCCTTAACTCTTTAATTTGCTATTAGCCCCGCACCCTGCATGCCATAGTCGTATTCAGTGGTGGAAATAGATTCTTGGAGGCCGGTGTAAAACATTTTCGTGGCGAATTGCTAAGATAGAATTTAAAAAAAAACTAAAAATTTTGTATTTCTCACGTAACATCTTTATTCTTTAATACATATATGATATAGATATTTCCATATACATTGAATATATTTATAAGTAGGTAAATATTGAAATTAAGTTGTGAATATATTTTTTTTGGCTTTGATTTTATGCAAAAGTATTGATCAATGCCGACATATTTTATTTTTTTGCACGTTCGTTTCGAATAGATATCATGTCCAAATCACTTAGACGTGTTTGAGACATAGTTTTTCTGAGGTAGTTTTTTTATTGACTTCAGCTAAAAACACGATCTCTCAGCACTGCTTTAAGCAGGATTCACATACATTCTTTATGATTCACACTACACCGTGTCATGTCTTCTAAAATAATTATCTCTGATTGACTGAACCATATTGTTACATCAAGGTATACTGTATAATAAATCACAAGTTACCTCACTAATCATAAGATACCGTGAAGTTGATTTTCTCCAACTTTTGAGCGTGTGGTTACTGATTTTAATAGTAATAATTTAATATTGTATGATAACAGTATTCATAATAACAAAGAGCTCGGAAGGTGTTGCATTTGCATGATTTTATTGGGCTATTCAATTTATTGTTAAATAACCTTGAAATTATTTTTATGACACTATGAGAAACCTAATGGGAACATTTTGAAAGAAAATTTTAAATTTAAAACTATTTATTTTATTTTATTTTATCTTATATATTTATACATAGAAATTATGTTTAGCTTAGCATAATATACTAACAACATTCGTACTGTTATGTACGAGTATATTTAATAAAATATCTTTATTTATGAACATTTTTGTGTTAAAAAAAAATAAAGTGTATATTTTTGAAGCATATTTGTACTTTTTTAAGCGCATAAATGCATGCATATTTAGTACTTTTTAAGTGCATTAAGTTCGGAGCCCTAATAATAATATAATACATATTGTCTACTATATAATTTAATATTCATCAGTTATTATTTATTGAAACTTATGAAAATATTTTATATCTAATAAAAAAAACTGCGAAAATATGTAATCAAAATTTGATAGCATCACCATAAGACATATATTGATATCACACATTTTCAAAGCACACGGTCTGGTAAAATACACGTCACGGTGAAGTGTGAACCTGGCTTTACATTATAAATTCTACTAATCATTCTATATTTGTGAATTATAGTTATTATTTCTATTTTTTATATATTATTAAAATGTACTGATTGTATTGTCATATTACACTCAATACTCAATACTCAATGAATATTTTATAAGCTTCAAGACAATACGAGAGAGCTGTTTTCTTAATGCAATTGACAAAATTTACGGCTCACCGATTGTTAACAATTATTGCAATTACAAAATGTGATTAAGAGTTTTCTACTGTATTGTTACAATTATAATTGCTTTAACGTAGGTAGCACAATTACATTTCAATTGCTTTTCATTCCACATTTGCTAAATATATATAAACATTTAATTTCACTTATTGAGTCCATAAATAAACATAAATAACATACATATAATGTTATATAATGATTATGAATTTTATACTTCATTAAACTGCGATAAATGTTTTTAACATCAACTATTATGTATTCAAAACTTTTTTTTAACAATTAACAAGTGTTTAATCAAATATTAATCAATAATATAGATAATTTAGCAACATACTAATAGTAAGAATAGATTTAGGGGTGAAGTCAGGAGGTCAGCTAACCCTCAATTAATATTGGCTGACAAAATTGGCCCCTTTAAAACTCTTATATTTTTTAAATGTGCCAACTGTAGGTTGAAGTTAATAATAAACTAAGGCAAATTTCCCAGATATTACCCTTCAAATGACACCATCGGTTTAATTGTATAGTACAGTATAACATTTCTTTACCGGACCCCTTGTAAGACGAAATTCTCCATAAAATAAAATAAATGTTAATAGTTTCAATGATAATTATGAATAAACTTAAAAACGCATATTATATGATCATAATGTGTTTTTTGTTACAAGGTATACATTTATAATTCAGTTTCAGCCCTAATAAGTGGCCTCTTGAAATAGTCTGATCCACATTTTTCGAACTGTGCATCCACCCCTGACAAGTAGCTACATATATTAATCTTGAAGATTCTTACGATTGGGGATAATTATAATTTTATTTGAGTTTTCTGTTTTCGAATAAACAAAACCCTAGCAATTGTCAGTCACAAGTTTCGTAACGATCGGAATAAAATATTCAAGTATAAGAATAATTGGACATTAATGTTGTAAACGATATTGTGTATTAGGCGTTTTGGATTCAATCTAAACGATGGATTTTTCGTGATTACAACATGCCATAAAAATAACGATCTCCTTAATATTGTGGCATACCATTGCAATATCACACTTTTATAATTCATGTAGGTTACGTATTAGGTAATCATCGGGTTGCTTAATGACTCATTAAGAAAAATAATACAATTGTTTTATAAGATATTGAGTATTAAATAGTATTAAACAACTGTTAAATATTGTATACGTGCTTTTAATTATCATTGTAGTACTTGATACCTATTGAATTTGATTTGATTTTGTTTTTTACTCCCCATTATTTATCCCCATTTACCTAAATATATGCAATAGGGACACTAAAATTATTTTAAAACATTTTTTTAAATATTATTGCACATTTTATTAAATACACATTTTATCATTTTATAATAATAAATATTTAATATTTATTATTAATTTAATACTTCATATTATATACATAAAAATCAGTATATAGTTATAGCTGTAATAAATAACAATTAAAATAAATTTAAAATTTAAACTTGAAATATTTTTCTGGACTTCTTATTTGCTAAAGTAAAAATAATGTCTGAAATATTAATTTCTTTGAAAATATTTTCTTCTATTGATATTATAACAGGGGTGGATCTGAAACCTGGTTAAGGGGGGGGGGGGGGTGAATAGGAATATTTATGAGTGATATATAGAGTACAATGAATACTTGACCGTTATTAACCAATTTATTGAAAAATAAGTACAACGCTTAATACAAATAATTAACTAGATATCTTTATTTAAGTACCTATAAAAATTCACTATTCAAAAATATTAATTACAATAATAATTTAACATCTCTTTTTTTTTTTCATTTGCAAACCTATTAATGACTTCTTCTATATTTACAATAATGTCTTTATGTGTGTCATTGGCGGATTTAGGATTTTATCATGGGGGGGGGGGGGGGGTA